TGCTCTCCTGCCCTTCACCCAGGACGCCTGGCGAGTCCTGACGCTGGCCAGGGCAAGACTCACACCTAAGCAGTCCACGTGCCTTGGCTCTCAGATGGATTAATTTGGATAGGAAATTCCAGATCCAATTTCAACAACTGGTCAGTTCTCCTGTTAGAAAAATGTTTCAGGGAGTGGCACAAAGACTTTTTGGAGACAGATCATCGGTGAGAATAATTGAAAACAGCATACTGTTCTCACGAAAAAGCAGCGCGTCTCAGTACTATCACAGAAGCCTCTCCCCGGCGCCTTCCTACGAACTAAAACATTCCTAGAACGTTTCCCACAGGACACAGGGCCTCTGCACAGCCTCAGGTGGTCAAGTCCTGAGACTTGGGCTTATGGGTCAAAGAGGCCAGTCAGGCCGCTGGCCAGCCACGTGGTCTGGTCCAGCTGATGGCCAGGAGGGACTCTGCTCCTCTCTGCAGGCCTCCGGAGCAGCCGGGGAGAAGAGGCATCACTGTCTACCCACTTCTTAGCTCCAGGCCTCCAACGTGCTGCCAGTGGGCTTGGTCAGATATTCACGGGCCCACGTTTCCCTAGCAGGAGGGGTGACTGCACTGACAGCTGATGCAGTTGGTAACCCATTTCTCCAAAGGGACATGAGTGGGCAGGTCAGGCTGAGCTGGTCTGCCCCCAACCCAGAGAGGAACCTGGGGTTAGGCAGTTACACTTAGGTCTGGCCGGGCTGCAGGCTCTAGCCCAGCTTTACCAGAAAGGCGCTTCACCGGGCATACTGAGCATGGGATCAGCTATCAAGAAGTGGTTCCTGGTTTCCTAGGAGGCTATGCTTCTGATGTGTAAGAACCCCAGACAGGAAGAAGGAAGCAGTGAGGGGACTCAAACCTGATCACCTCCAACCCTCACCGGGTTTGACACTGAGGTTTGGGGGCCCAAGACCTGTATACTTTGTGTTCCCATCGCCAGTATCCCTTTTTCCTGAGGCCTCCCGATTCCAGGCCCTGTGTGCTTTCCACACCCTGTGTTGCTTCTCTAAGGAACCACGCAGGCTCAGCTCGGCCATGGTGACTGCACTTCCCTTCACGTGGAACGTTCTGGCTACAGCTCTGCTGAGAGTGTAAATATGGTCTTTATAGAGATGAGGTCGGGCACTACTCCGCTCGGAGCCGTGGTGCTGCTGAGTTAGTGTTGGCCTGACGCTCTGGGCAACGCTGCCCTTTCAGAAGAGGAGCCAAGCGAAATACCGCCTGGGCACTTTGCACTGTTCCAGGGGGAGAGCCCTGCCCACTGCACACTGAAAACGCAGTTTCATTGACAAAAAGGATTTCCATTCTTCATTTCGGTGTATCTTTGGGGGCTTCTCCACTGAAGCTGTGACTTCTAAAATGTGCTCTGTAGAAAACATCGACCAGTAAATCACTGTACATTTTAGTCTTGGAAATTCAAAAGCAAATACAGTTACTTGTTTGTGTGTATGTGGCTGTGGGGAGGTGGGGAGTGGACAATTTCAAAACCATCAGCTTTCATCCAGCAGAGGAAAGGAGGAGAGAGAACCCCGAGCGGCACCTGCCCTGGCTGGCCTCACGCTGGGTGCTCTTGTGTTTGCGAGGCCCCCAGAACAGGTGGCTTTGTTACCCCTGTTTACAGAAGTAGAAACTGAGGCTCAAGGAACTTTCCGAGGACACAGTGCGAGGCAATGGAGTCACCAAGATTTGAGCTGAGGGCTCCTGACTCCTGTATTTGTATCAGCTACAGGTTTCTCATTTGAATCGGCCATTTGAACAGAGCCACATGATAGCCCTGCTGCCATTTCCTGCCCCCTGATCATATTACTGCTGCCGGTTTTCCAATGCTGAGTATTTTTTCTGACTCCTTTTTGTCCGTCATTTAGGTTTCTGACCTTTGCCACTGGTGCCTTTCATGGGAGAAAAGGGAGCGTGTTTCAGTGCAGGAGGTTTGCTAGGGCTCTGCGAGGGTTTCGGAGGGAAACCGGTCTGGAAATGTGGTTACTGATGGAAGCTGACGGGTCCTGAGACTCAGGCCAAGTGCAGTGTGCAGGAGACACGCAGATTTTTTTTTTTTTTTTTTTTTTTTTTTTTTTTTTTTTTTTTTTAACAGCAGAAAATACGCAACACCTCTTTACTAGTTTATTCCTACTCCATGATTCTGGAAAGGCTTAAAGGAAAAAACTGCCAGATTTGCCTTAAAAAAAAAAAAAAAAGGGAAATTCTACATCATAAAAGATACTAAAATAGATGAAAATAGGCGGACACCAAAAGGTAAGCAAAGAAGAAAAACAAATCTTCAATAAAAACTTTGAAAAGGTATTAATACCTTGACAAAGAAGAAGTGTAAATGTTTATTTTTTAAACCTGGCTGACTGGCAAAGATTCGTAATAGTCCTAGGGACACAGATATGTCAGCCTGGGCCCCCCACCCTGGAGTTCACTATGGTTGGGGAAAAAGAAAAGAGTTTTAGACTTGGGCTCTGGACCACCCAGGCCACTTGGGCTCAGACACTGGATCTGCCATATAAGCCACCAACCTCAGGGGTGGCACCTAATGACCCCATGCTCCAATCTCCTCATCTGTCCAGTGGGTGACGACAAGTGACCTCACACTTTAAAGCACTTGCCTTTTAAAAAGAGCCCTCTGTAGAAATGTCAAAGGTGAAGCTGAAAGCATGGGCGGCACCCACAAAAGCAGCTCAGGCTGGGAGCTGGGAGACCCACCTGCCACTCTCCCAGTGGCCTTCGAAGCCTCTCCTGACGGAGTGCTTCCTGTAAACCAAGACCGTCCCTCTGAGAGCCCCACCAGAGCCCCGGGGAGGCCCTGCAGTAACAGGGCTGGCTGCTTGTTTTGGGGGGTGTTTTCCAGGCCTCTGCTGGACCTCCGTCCCCAGCATTCCCATTAGACATTCCCAGAGCCTCTCCTGTGCTTCTGACCTGGGAAAGCGCTGGGGGCCCTCCCACGGCCACTGTGCGCTCTGCGGTCGGGGACAGCCTCCTTATTCTCTGCCCTGGTCCCTGGGGCTGGGAGCTGAACACAAGCAAAACCTTTTTATTTTTCCTGAATGCTCTTTCTGGAGGTCTGGCCTCCCCTTCTCCAAGACAGAAGACGCACAAGGCAAAGAGGGAAGCATCTGCCTGGCCAGTGCTTAGGGTCCCGCCCCGCCCGTTGGGGCGGAGAAGGTTAGTGAACAGGTAAATGGTGAGAAGCTCTCCCTGTCAGCGGGAAGCACCAAGAGCGACCCCCCTCTCTGAGGCGCAAGATCAGGCACTGGGGGTGGGGAGGGGTGAGCAAGACCGCCCCTGCCCTTCCCCGTCAGGCTCTGGGTGGGGAGGCTCGAACACAGTACAAGGACTCAGGAAAAGCCCACCTGAACTGTCCAGAAAAACAACAACAAGAACAACAACAAACCCGCCAAATTTTTCTCATTTAACTATCACGTGTGGACTAACCAAGCCCAAGTCTAACCAGGAAGGAATCTTGAGAAGTTAGATCTATGCAGGAAAAGCCGAGTATACCTTCCGCCGATGCCCCTCCCTGACACGCAGAAGGGAAAGGACAGGAATGCACAGGAGTTCAAGTTGAGAGAGGCTGGTGAGGTCAGCTCTCCCCTTGCTGGGTATCAGAGCCGCCCTGAACCCTGCCCTAGGCTTCCACTACCCGGCACAGCACCTGCGAGGGCGGGGGCTCAGCAAATAGTTGTTAGAATAAACACACACATTCAGAGAATGAGAGGAAATTTCCTTAGCACTTTTGGTCTTAACAATTCTTGGTTTGAGGACTATTTTGAAGAGAAGCTGAAGCAAACTGTGGCAATTTTATTTACTTTAAAATCTGTAGTTCAATGGTTAGGTCTTGAAACAAACTTCTGAAGGTTCCTGAGATCAACAAGGAAGAACCCAGCTTCTATGGACCTTGGTGACCCCAGTTTCAACCTTCTTGCTGATGTGACCGACATCCAGGAGACCACTAGGGGAGGTGGGGGTGGGGTGGTGAAAAGCCTACGGTGGCTCCTCAGACCCCTCATGGCACCTGTTCCTTCTGACTGGGCTGCCCAAGCTCAGTGAAGTCCCAGAAAAACACAAAACTCATCTGGTCTCAGTTCCAGAAGAAAGCCATGGACCGGAAGGTATCCTGGACACCATCCTTTAAGTCCGTGGACCTGCTTATAGCACAGTGACCTCAGAATGCTCTGAGCATCTGGCCCTAAATGAGCTTCCTTTGGAAAATACGCATATTGGGCTGAGTGGGACTGGTCCCCCCAAAAAAGCTGTTTGGAGGCTAGTGTCTGAATCTCAGAAATATCCTGACACCTCTGGCCACATGGCCAAATTCCGGACACTGCTTGGGCACTGTGACCCCACGGAAGTTCCTCACTAAAGACTGCAACTGTCCCTAGGCACTGTCACAGAAAAGGCAAGCATGGAGTTGGGACTGAGGTGACATGGGCCAACCTCAGCCCACGGGACTCAGGAGGGCAGTCACCCGTCTCTCTGCTTGGGGTGAGGCCGACCGAGCCCGAGCAGTGCTCCACACTGCTGCATTTTGGTAGGCACATCTCTCTTTTCACAATACCACCAGCTAAAAGATAAAGCACTCCAGGAACTCCACACAAAGGATCTCAGCAATCCTCACAACCTTGAGAGAGGTAAATATGATCTCCTTTCTACAAACCAGGGAAACTGAGGGTTTGCAGAAGTAAGGATGCTTGCCCAAATCACCACGTGAGGGAGTCAGAGCTAAAAGTGGTCTGGGAATCCAGGCACCCTGACCCCTAGCCCCAGGCTCTTGCCTTTACATCACGTTATTTCCTGAACTTACAGAAAACTAAAATCAGTCCCCTCTCACTGCTGGCCTGTGGCTCCCAGCTGGAGGCCTGCCTGAGGTTGTGCTTGCTTTGGAGTGCGGCCTGGGGTGAGAGGCACGTGAAAATGTGACTCCATGGCCAGGCAACAGGGAGGTCTCTGACGTGCACACATCTGTATCCCCAGGCCCGTGGAGAGACTGTTTGCAGGCCTTGGAGGATGGCCACGACACCAGCTCCATCTACCTGGTGAAGCCAGAGAACACCAACCGCCTCATGCAGGTGTGGTGTGACCAGAGGCACGACCCTGGGGGCTGGACCGTCATCCAGAGGCGCCTGGACGGCTCCGTCAACTTCTTCAGGAACTGGGAGACATACAAGGTGAGAGCCCCGGGCCCTGTCTGTGCTGTCGGTGAGAGCAACCGGGCCACCCCAAGAGGCCTGACCAGCCGGTGAGAGGGCCACTTGGAGGGAAGGTGCATGCTGACCTGTCGAGGCCTTGGTGGCCCCGTGCAATACACACGTGAGGTGAGGAAGACACTGACGAGGTCATTTTTGCAAACCCACCAGGGATGGTGAGGACCAGCAGCCCCTCCCCTGCCTGCCGCTGGCAACTGCTACAAGATACGAGTTAGGGACACACCACAAAAGGCCCGTGGACATGGTGGGACTGTAGAAATGCTGCTAGGGGGTGGCCCCTCATCCCTGTCTGGGTATAGGGAGCATCCTTTTCCCAGCTGGGGCCTCCTTGCGGGAAGACCTGGTCTCTCAGCCCAGAAGGGGCAGGTCCCCAGGGCCTGCTACTGGGAAACATGGGAACACTAGGCCCGAATTCCCAGGAAGCTGAATGCCCACCCAGTTGTAGGAAAGGCCACTGGGCTCAGCCATACGTCTGGCAGATGACAGGGGTGGTGCCGAAGGTGGCAAAAGGAGCTCAGTTCACCAAATGCCACCGCCACGTGCCAGGCACCATGCCAAGTGCTTCCAACTGTTACCTGCTTTAGTCTCACACGAGCCCCGGGAGGAAGATCCTGGTGTGGCCCCGGTTTACAGATGAAAAGGTGAAACAACCTGCTCGGGGCTGCACACAGCAGCGAGTCCAGGCCTCTGACACCAAAGCTTACGAACGACCCTGGCCATGACGCCTGTGCGTGGCTTCGCGTGGCCCCTTCCTGTCCTGGTTGCTCCCAGCCCACCTCCTGCCCAGCCCGTGTCGCTGTTTTCTTCTCTTTCTCCTCTGCTTTCTGAAGATCCACTCCTTCACCCCTTCCTCCTCCTGCCCATATTCTTTTTCTCAGGGGCGGGAGAACACAGTCGTTAAGACTGGGTGCCTGCTTCAGATCCCGAGTCACCCTCAGGCTCTCTCTGACCCTGGGCCTCTGTGGACCTAGCTCTTAGAGTTGGCACAAGGATTAATAACATAACCTACATAAAGTCCTGAGAACAGTGCCAATACACTGGAAGGCTCACTGAATACTATCAGTATCATCAGCGAGCCCATCTATTCTTAAGACTTTGAGTGGCTACTACCTGGCTGATGACTCCTTAAATTCAGCGTAAAAACAATAATAAAACCGCTGATTTTAAACCCAGAAGGGAGCCGGGGCAGATGTAGCATGTGTTTGTCACAGCTCATACCGGTCTGGTGCATTAGAGTTTACACAAGACCCTCACACACATCCCATTCCCAGAGAGGGACGGTGAAGCTCAGAGGTGGTCAGGATTCGTCCAAGGAACTCCTGTCGCCTGGCTACTGTGTGTTAGGCTCTCGGTTTACCACATTAGGTGTGTTCCTACAACAACCCTGTAGTAAAGGTAACACAGTGTCCCCCATGTTCACACAATGCCTAGCACACAGTAGGCACACTTTCAGTAGTCTTGAATGATGCGTGATTGAGGCTCAGACAGGAAAAGCGATTCATCAAGTCACAGCCAAGTGCAGAGGTGGGGATTTGAACCCAGGCCTGCCTTATGCTCTACCCATTTCTGATCTCCTCTGCCCAGGGCTGAGCATCCAAGAGTGGGGCCCTGCGGGCTGAGGACACTACGTATCCCTCACTAACGCTCTCCTCCGTTTTCCCCAGCAAGGGTTTGGGAACATTGATGGCGAGTACTGGCTAGGCCTGGAGAATATCTACTGGCTGACGAACCAAGGCAACTACAAACTGCTGGTGACCATGGAGGACTGGTCTGGCCGCAAAGTCTTTGCAGAATATGCCAGCTTCCGCTTGGAGCCCGAGAGCGAGTATTACAAGCTGAGGCTGGGGCGCTACCATGGCAATGCTGGTGACTCCTTTACCTGGCATAACGGCAAGCAGTTCACCACCCTGGACAGAGACCATGACGTCTACACAGGTAGGACCCATACAGTCAAACCCAGGTGCAGGCCAGGGCAAAGAGGTCGGTCAAAGCCAGAGCTTCTGAGTCACAGCCTGAGAAGAGGAAGGTTCCAGAGCCCAGAAGGCCGACCCTGTTGCTACTCCCTGAAAACCCACTCCTCTGCCCACCTTCACAAAGGTGGATCAGAGGGGCATTAACAAAAAGGGAACGGCAAAGAGGTGTACAAATTACACATTTGTGGGCCACTCAGGGCCAAGCCTTCACATCACCTCTCTGCCGAGGCACCAGGTGTTCAGGCCACACTCTCCACGGACCCTGGGCCACACACCTGGGTAATAATGCTGGCCCTGCCTCCTACCAGTCATGTGTCTTTGGGCATGCTGCTTACTAATCTCTCCGGGCCTTGCTTCCACATCGGGAAATAAGGACAATGCCTGCCTTGCAGGGTGGTGAGAAGGTTAGAGGATGTACCTCAAGTGCTTTGTCTCAGACGTGGCAAAGAGGGCTCAATCCAAGTGGGCGGTCTTTGTGGTTACTATTATTAGCGTGTGTTATTAACACAGTGTAGTAAGGGAGCTATTAAGAGGAAACCAGGTAGGAGACATGAAGTGATTTGTCCAGGGTCATATGCCTCAAAGCCAGGTCTTTACTAGGAAGTCTTTATTAAATAAAAAACAAGGGGGAAAAAAACACAGAATATTCTAAGAGACACACATACATACAATCCAGCCCTGAGTCCAGATGTCAACCTCCCACAGTTAAGCCTCTCCAGGCCCCACACCCAGTTTCCTGAGATGAGGGCCTCTGCACCCCAGCTGCTTGGCAAAGCCAGCAAGGCACTGCTCCTGTCTGAGGGACCAACCCTACCTCCAGACCAAGGATGTCTGTTATCATTGGGCAAATCTGGCCCCCTCCCTGCCCCCTGGTCTGCAGGCCACTTCCCTCCTCTTTAAGGTCCCAGGAACCACTTGCATTTTTCAGGCAAGCTCTGTACCTACATATTGAGGAGGGAGGTCCTCACTTTAGGTCCCCATGGCAGCCACACTCTAGCAGGCTGTTCTCACAACACTGGGGGACATGCAGTTACCTCCACCTGCTGGCTGGCACTGAAGGGGCCCCTGACGAGACAGTATGCCTTCTTAGGCAGGGTTATAGAGGCTTCTAGAAGAGCAGGGCAGGAAGGGGACCCTTGGAGCTAGTCAGATTCTGGGGACACTGGGACTGCTACAGCATCTCGAGGGCCATCGTGGATAGGAGGGAAAAGACTGTTCTATGACCCAAACCGTCAGGCCTGTGCAACAGCACCGTCAGTGGCTGGCAAGGAAGTGAGCTCCTTGTCCCTGGAGGCATGCAGGTCAAGCTCAGGAGGGGCCTCCACTCACACGGGACGCTGGCTATGGCATGCCAAGGGCTCTCTCTGCTCTCCAAACCCAAGCACTGCCATTTGGTCCCTAGCCTCGAGTGACGGCCTAACAGAGCCCAAGGAAAACTCTGGGCTGGGCTGCAGGGGCTGCGGGTGCCTGAGCCCATTCTCCCCTGAGCTTTCTGCCTCGGCCAGCCTGCAGCCTCCTTACCACATCCCAAGGCCTCAGCGGGAGCAGGGCCACCGGCCCCATTGGGCGCCAGCCCACAAACCTGACCGAGGCAGCCCTTCCTCTGAGTGGGGGTCCACTTCTCAGGCCTGCTCAGGAAACCGGGGACCCTCTCTTTTAACTAAGAGCAGCCCAAGCAGCTGGCAGCTCCTCTTCCGCTTCCTCCCCGAGAAGGCCGATGCCCCTGCACGCCTGCTTGCACCTTGCCCACACTTTCACTGTTGTTCCGAACTGCTTGTCCTTGGCAGCAAAATCCAGCATGATATGATAGTGCCAGAAGTTTTATGAAAATATCTTTCTTTTGTGAAATCATAAAAAAATACTTGGCTGGAATACAGGCTGGGAGGAACAGAGGAGCATTTCATCTTAAACACTTCCTTTGTCATTCTATAAAAATCTTGATCCAACAGTTGCAACTCTTAAAAAATTCCTCAGAACACTTTGGCCGCTCCCCCGCCCACCCCAGGTCATTTCTGCTTCCTATTCAAACCTCCCTGGGGCGCTTCCTCTGCACCAAGCCCCGGGCTAACTGCTTAACTATGCGCCCTCCTTCGATCACCACACAGTCCTGTGCGGGAGGCACCACGCTTACCCTCATTTCACAAGGACAATTCGGTGGCCCGGTGAGTTCGCTGGTCACAAGGCCGAGCCTCAAAGGTTGGAGCAAATCTGAGACCTGGCCCACCCCTCAAGCATTCCTGCTCCAAATGCCCTCTCCCCCACCTTCCCAGAGGGCCCTGCTAAAGGCCCTAAACAAATGGCAGCCTTGGATACAACTGCCTCCTCCCTGTGACCTCCTCCCTTGTCTCCCGCAGGAAACTGTGCCCACTACCAGAAGGGAGGCTGGTGGTATAATGCCTGTGCCCACTCCAACCTCAACGGGGTCTGGTACCGTGGGGGCCATTACCGGAGCCGCTACCAGGATGGAGTCTACTGGGCTGAGTTCCGAGGAGGGTCCTACTCACTCAAGAAAGTGGTGATGATGATCCGGCCCAACCCCAACACCTTCCACTAAGCCAGCTCCCTCCTGACCTCTCATGGCCATTGCCAGGAGCCTGACCCGGCCATGCTGGCCCCGGCACCAGGAACAACTCCCCGCCAGTTCACCTTGGGGCCGGGAGGATGGGGCCGCCGGATTCTGTTTACCCGATCGCTGCGGCAGATGATGGAATGGAATCAATACAGTATTCTCTGTCCCTACTGCTTTTCTTCACATCAGACAGACCCTCATGTTTCCACACAAGACAGAACTACAGACAAGTCCTTCTTTAAATACATTAAATCCCTACAATGAAAACCCAACTGCAAAATACCTTCGTAATATACATACGCATGAGCTGAGCTTATGCACATGTGTGTGTACCACATATATATGCATTTAGATATATACCACGTGTACTATATCTAGACACGTATATAGGTTTGGTTATATACCTAAATGCACAGACATTCAATTCTCAGATGTTGAAGTTGTTACCAACAGCTTTCCTCTTCGGCGAAAAGCACTGCATTCACATGGTGTTGCTCGAATCTGAGAGCAGATCACAGGCTATGTAGCTCTAATTCAAAGAATAACCCTTGGTGTCCACGTGCCTGAATTTTTCCAGGAGTGTCTACATGCTATTCACTCACATAGGGGTTCCCTGCTTCCTCGCTAAAGAACCCTTTGGGCACCTGATCAAATTTCAACATCCCCTTCCCTCTCCATTTCTATACTTTCCCCCATTCTCAGGACTTTTTCTCCATCCATCCATCCATCCAACCATCTATCCATCCACTTGTTCATCCAACACCATTCAGGAAGTACCTTCTGTACCAGTCGTTGGCCACTCACTGAGGTTCCAGGCACCTTCTCTGCTCTTCTCTACCCTTCATACCCACTCCTTACCTTTTCTGTCATATCATCCTTTCTTTCCAGGCAAGCCTCTGAGTAGGAGACAGTTTGGGCTCCAGGTTTCTGGTCAGGAAAGGGAAGGCCAGGCCCCAAAGCTAACTCCCGGCCACGTAGATGATGTACTCTCAGTTTTGTATGTTCCGTTCACACTTTAGCCTACATGTCATTTTAACCGTCACAGAAATAATAACCTACCTTGCCCAGGAGATACTCAAGTGAAGAGAAGTCATCCCCCGATCATTGGGGCCCCCGAATGGCTACAGACCAAAGGTCCCGTGCTCTCAGGCTGACTAGAGTCCGCATCTCGTCCCCAAACTACACTTCTCTGGAGTACAGGTGCCACAAAAATGACAACTGGCCGCTTCTCGTGAGCTCCTGAATAACCAGGAGCCACCGGACCCCTTGGCTGGTGCATTGCAGCGTGGTGGCTTTCTGAGTCCTGTTGGCCGCGAAGTGTCAGACTCAGTACTACCGGGACTCTTCTTGCCAAGCAGGGAGCAAGAGAGGAGTCAGGAAGGTGAGACCGTCCCCGGTGGGCGTGTGAATGGGGGTGTGTGAGATGTTGGAACGTTTGGTACTGTCCATGTCTGGGTGTGTGCCTATTACCTCAGCATTCCCACAAAGTGTACCATGTAGCATGTTTTGTGTATATAAAAGGGAGGGTTTTTTTTAATATATTCCCAGATTATCCTTGTAATGACACAAACCTGCAATAAAAGCCATCAGTGCTATTTGGACGTATCTACACTGTGTGTTACTGTTTTGGAACGCCTTCCTGGGGCCTCTTCTATCAGAGTCTCTTTGAGTGAGACTAGATACAGATTCAGCACCAAGGACATACACCAAATCTTTTACATCACACTCTCCCTATCTTTGGTTTCCACGTACACCATCAGGAGGCCCAAGACAGCACCCCAGGCCATGAAGGCTCTCTGGGGCTTCACTTCCTTACAGCCATGTCCTGGATATCTTCACTGAATGTCCCAGAAGCACCTCCTAGACAGTGCAACCAACCCCTGAAACACCTTCCCCCAGGTCTGGGCCCATGTCACCAAAAGGCACCATTTATCAATTACTCAGGTCAAAAACAAGAATTTCTCCCCTTACCACACCAACGCCAATCCATCCATCGACGAAAGCCCTTTTCTCTGCCTTCGTGTCTCCTCTCCCCTCAACTACTACAACAGGCTTCCCACCGGACCGGGAGCCCTCTGCCTCCCTCCCTCATTCCAATCTGACTTTCACATTAGCTGCCAGAAAAACACAACTGTGGGCTGGGAAGTCATCTCTAGGCATGGCAGGAAACCCCAAAGCCAAAAAGGAAAAGATTAAGGGATATGACTAAAGAAAACCCCAAATTTTCTGCCCTCTGAAAAATAACAGATGACCAAGGCTGAAGGCAAATATCAAATAAGAAAAATAAAGGATCAATATTCATGCTATCTCAAGAACTCTCTTAAATCAAGAAGAAAAATACAGACACCATGACAGAAAACTTCGTTAGGCACACGAACACATTAGAACACAAATGGCCAATAAGGAAGAAAAGGTGCCAACCTCAGTAATAACCAGAGAGGGAGGGATACTAAGTCAAGCACAAACCATCACAAGGTGCCTATCAGATTTGTAAAGATGAAAAAAATCTCCATGTTGACAAGGGAATGGAGAAATACGTACTTTCTGTACTATGGGTGGAAGTATAAATTGATTCAACCTGTTTCAAGGGCAACTTAGCAACGTGTATATCAAACATGGATATACGTATGCATCAAAACTTTTAAAATGCTTATACCTTCGGACCCAGCAATCCCTCTTCCCAATGACTTAGCAATAGTGCCACATGAGAGCTGCTTCTAGCAAAGATGTAGTTGGGTAGAGACAGATATTTACTACACCCTACTACGTGCTTGGAATTGGACTTCTGTTTTCTATGTAATGCTCACAGCACCCAGGTGAAGAAGGGATTGTTCTCACCTCACAGAAGAGGAGGAAATGAGGCTCACAGTCAGACAGCTGGTAAAAATGCCCTAGCAGCAGTTAATCCGGAAGGTGCTGGATGTCAGGCACTAACTAAGAGTTCTCAGCTCCCTTCTCCCAAACCTCTAGTAGGCTGCCGAGGTCATCAGTTGTTGTACCAGATTTGGTGTGTTTGGGGAGAATACCTCAACCTTGGCCCAGGCCTCCCCACACACCTGGACTGGTGTGTCCAGGATGGAAGGATTGATGGTTAAGGAAAACAGGGTCCATCCAGCCTTACTGGTCACTGGTCGTGGGTCCAAACCCCAAAGCGAAGAGTTCTGGAAAGCCATGCTGGACAACGTGGAATAACCCTTTTTCTAGACTAGCTGTGACCCAGACAAAAGCAGGCCGAGACACCAGCTATTTCTCCCAACCCCCACCCCAAACCCAAACCTGAGTCAAACCACACCCTGGCTATATGGAAGGAGAGGTAGGAATAAACCCATCAGACATGTGGAACTGGCTCTCCTTGGTGTAAAATGGGGGTTTGGCCGACAGCATTGAAGAAGAGAATGGGGGTCGGGGCGGGGGGGATGCAGAAGAGCTGTGCTCAAGTGCATGGTGCCGTAGCGCCTGGTGTGTGGCTCCACCGGCCAGCAAACACAGCCAGGTCCCTGAGGTCTGCCCAACTCAGACCAGCACCTGTCCTTCCTCTCCCATCCCAGCCAGTGGCCTTTTAAGGCCTGTAGGCGTAGGAGCCCTACTGTCACTGAGGTCTCCATGGGGAGGGTACCTGCAGACCCAGACTTTCTCTGATCCCAGCCAAGCCCCCACACTCCAGTTTGCATCAATACCTTGGTCGCTGGGGGGCACCGACCTGCTGGGCTTATGTGGGAACACAGCAGGAAGACAGTGATGTTCTTCAAGCAAGTGACACTGAGCAGGATCCCCTCCCCCAAATCTTGCAAAATCTTGCCAATTTGAGCAAGACTGAAAGAGAAGCCTTTGGACTGCCGAAAACAACAGTATTGGGAGTCTAGGATGCTCACAATTTACAGATGGTCCTTGGGAGCTCAAGGGGGTCCTCTCTGATCTGAGACCACCTCATCTGTTATATGCAGGCTTGCAAAGACTCTAGGCTATAGTATGACAAAGCCAGGCAACTGGATTAAACAGAAAGGGCACGTTTCAAGGTAACAAAATGTTAAAAAAGGCCCTCTTTCGGCCTTAGTTTTATCTGAGACTCCAGAGGCTAAGGGCAAAATAATAGCTTCCAAGTGTCCCACATCCTAGAGCAAGGTGTAGGACCATCACTATAGGGGGTGACTCCAAAAGGATTCTACAACATTAGCAGATTGCCCTTCTGCAGCCTGTGTGAGAGGTGCAGGAAAAATACCCTGGGGTGGGGGGAATGAGCTGTCCTTGTGATATGCTCCCTGGCCACCACCACCACACGGAGGGTGGGTGTTCCCCCGACCCTAAATCAAGTGAGAGGGCCTTCGAGGGACCATTCCAGGGGTTTGGCATAAGCACTAGTACCAGACTCGTGCCTCAAGTCTCCAGACCTGCGGCAGAGAGAAATGAGACCACACTGGAGCAAATGGCAAGCCCATCAGGGGCTGCGGGGGAGGCAAGGATATGGTTTCCTAGGAACCAGAGGGCAGCCGGGGGGGTGGGGTGGGGGGAGACAGTGCAGGAGGCCCGGGAAGCTGGGTTGAAGGGTTTCTGTTGAGGTGGAAAAGATGTATCACAGGTCACAGCAACTGAGTCAGAAGTGCCCAGAAGGGAAATTCTGCAGCAGCAGCAGCAGCAGCAATGGGGGGTAAAGAGTGTGGGTGCTTGGGCTTCTGGTGCAAGCTCTGAATCACGACTGAACTGGGCTGCTGTACCTGACTCCCTCACTTTTCCCCTCTCCCCTGTTCCAACCCCGAGGCTCACAAATCTCAGTGGGCAAGCGGGAGGCAGGAGGGTTGTGGGGGCCAGTGACAGTGCTGACCGTGGGCCCTCCCCCACCCCAGGCCTCCAGGCCTCTGGTCCATGTTAGGAGTCCAGACCTCTGGTTACTGCACCACTGTGCGTGCAGACCGATGGTTAAAGCAGACTCAAGCCATGCCAATCTGTGAAAGACGGCGGGACTTAAGGGGCTTGCTAAGTCTCCAGCC